ATTATATATATATACTACAATAATATCCCCTACCCAAAATATGATGGCATTTAAAAAGTTTGTACGTTTGAGCATTTTGATGTAGGTGTCAAAATTATTCAAATAATATTTTGCATGATATATGGGTGTGATGTAGCTAAGAGAACTTGGAATAGTGTGATCTAAACCCATGAGCAAAGCAAAAGCCTCAGAGCCACTGGAAATTATTCTCATAACATAAGATATAGTAAATAGCTATACCATCTTACCTCTCCTATAAATTATACCATTTTTCTAAATTTCCCATGAACCACTATCATTAAGACATTTCTAAATGTAAAGAACCTTGTCCATGCCCAAAGAATTGCTACAAACACAACCCACCAAAGAAAAGAAAAACCTTTAAGTTAACTACTAACATGAAGTTGATTATTGTTTTAGGGATTGCTTAATGACTTGGTTTTCCAAAAGAGACAGAATAACTCTAATTAAAAGCATCATATCTAATTGCCTGGCTTATTATTTTTCTTTATTGTTTGGGAGTGGGTTGGCTAGTGGAGGAGCTGATTGTTGACAAGTATGGATTAAAGAAGGGGGAAGTCTCTGAGAATTGATAAGTGAGAGGCAAACTCTTAAATAAACTCATTTGGATTYTTTCCTCTATTTGATAATATTAAATCCAATATAAGCACATTTTGTTTTACTCGTTCTTTATGAACAAAAAATTACTTCTTAAGCTTGAACATAATTCCAAAGAATATGTTGGATTAGGAACACAATTTCGATGAGAGCTTTAGCATAACCATACATAATGTTTATAACTAACATACTACTAAAAATGGAGGTATCTTGAATAAAAGATGAAGCATCCAAAAGAAAAAGGAACCAAATTCACAAGAACCATATTTTATTTCACGAATACTTCACAATAACCATATTGTAACCTCAAAATATCTTCTCATATGATTTCTTACACCTAAAATATCATCTCATCAACATTAATATTATAGAAACTAACTAATTGCATTTCATTTTTTATTTTTTATTTTTTTATGGTGTAATCCTAAAGTTGTATGTTTTATAACATACAAGTTAGTCTAACCACATGTGCTATTTCATAATATCCCTTGATTCGCTAATAATGGCATCATACCTTTTTTGTGTCCTAACAACAAAAAAATTTTATTAAATTGCATGGTGGATATCACAAATTTAAATTTAATTGCAACCAATMTTTTATAGGAACTCATATGCACAACTGACCAAGGTTAGTATACAAAAATACCTTTATTGTAATAGTTTAATATTATTTAATTAACATTGTAGGAATAATTGGATTATTACCTCATTTTGGGTAATAATTAAATTATGCATATAATAAATGGATGACATTCATATCAATTGACAAGTAATCAAGTAATGCATCTATTTAATAAATAAAAAACACTCAAAATATACCACAATAAGATTGGTTAGGCTCACCTGATCTTAGTAGAATGGTTATGGTTTGGCATCACAAACTAGTTCAAGCTTAAGCATTATGAGCTCAGGTATTGTTTTTTGACTTGGGGGAAAAACATAAAAGGATGAGATAAAATGGCAAAAGGAAAAAAAAAAACTCCATATAATAAAAAGGAGACAAGCAAAACCATTTGCCCAAATATGACTGGTAAATCCTAACAAATATTAAGATAGAAATATGAAATAGAAAAAACAATAAGCACATTGCCAAAACAAGATAACCATTTAAACACAACAGTTAGACGTTAAGAAGGCACTGTCCCATATTCTAATCAAGTAAATGAGGCAGAAAAAACAATAGACTACATAACCCAACCCTAAGAAAAAAGGTCAAGGAGAACAAAAAACGTGGGCACCAGAAATCATAGCTCCTTAAATACCATGCCCACTGCATTTAGGTGGACATGTTCAACACAATATAGAGACAATAAGAAAAAAAAAGAGCAAAAACAAAAAAACATAGTAACATTGTACATTAGTGTTAAAGGAACAATGGAACTAAACAAGTTAAACAATAACAAACATTAAATAAGATGCAACAAATGTCATAATGGTATTAGAAACCAAACAAGTAATGAGACAACAAACATTAAATAATATGAACAGTTGCTTTAACATAATAAAAAATGTTGGATATTTAAGTAGATAACAACTAGACAAATCCAAGATGAAGATGAAACTTTATACATGTTTGTGGACAATATAGTTGTTAGGTTTTGATATGTATATCCAGGCACCCAAATCCAAAGCCCTAATTATATAACCCACCAAAGCCCACCAAAAGTAAAAATGTCTTTTTGAATATAAGAAAAGACCAACCAAATTGATATACTTTGGCCGATAATGCTCTATAATCAATGCAACAACATTAATTATCAAGTACTTTGTTCAAATAAAAAAAGACAAAAAAAATCAAACTAACATGTGACAATGAGAATATTCAAAAAAGGAGTTGACAAAATTAAATGCAAAGTATAAAAAAAAATGAAAAACCAGTGAAGCCAAATAACACTGCACAAGACAAAGCATTCATAATATGAGTTGAATTAGACAAAAAAGACAAAGATACCAAGAAAAAAGTAATATGAGTTGAATTAGACATCAATTATACAACCTCCATTGTAGACAATCCATTGTAGGTAGTCAATTCATTCAAACAAATCAATCCAAAACCAACATAATCATTGATTACGCTAAACATTCGTCACTTGAAGGAGAAACGACATCATCCTCACTATACTGAACAATGATTGCGATCACCTGCTTACTTGATATTCGATATTAAGAAAACAGGTGAAAAAAAAAGCAAAAAGTTTAGTAGCGTATTGGATAGGAGAGACGCGTCGAAAAACAACTGCACTAAAAAATGGAGTTAGGCAACCACCATTCAAGCACATAAACATCTTTGTAACAAATGTTAGAACCAGAGAAGCACACCCAACCACAACCAAACAACGACCACCAACCACACACCCATAATTCTTGAGCAGAGGGAAAACATAAAAAACAACCAAAACATGAAACAATTGAGACATGAGGAGAACGGTGACTTGAGAACAACAACCACCGACCACACACCCATCTTTCTTGAATACCGATCACCTCTTATTCGGGGATGACGTAGTATTTTCCCGCTGTTGATCATGACAAAGAATGACAACTCTGTGACATTCTCCAACATATTTTGTACTATTTAAATAGACTAAAAATCTTTCCTAAGCAGATGATAAACATGAAAAGCAACCAAAACCGACTAAAAATCTTTCATGAGCAGAGGGCAAGTATGAAAAGCAACCAAAATAAACTAACCATCTTTATTGGGTAGATGGCAAAAATGAAAAACAATCAAAACATGAACAATTGAGACACGAGGAGGACGATGACTTGATAGTGGAGACTTGAGAGGTGAGGACGGTTAGCAATGGCAGCGGCAATGATTAAGATGTGAGGAGGACAATGGCTTGAGAGAGGAGGATGATTGAAAAGGATATGTGATGTGTAGGCAAGGAGTAGAGAGGACAATTTGGATAAAAGTACCATCGTGAACAGGAACATGTGCTTGGGTAAAGATGATAGCTTAAAGAAAAGAGCATAAGGAATATGCGCCTAGGTAAAATAAATGAAATGAGAACAACAACTCGAGATCTACTAGGCACAATATAGTAAGCATGTTAAATTAGCACTTGAAAAGTATATTGACAATTATCAAGAGTGGTTTTTAATCATTTTAAAGTTAGGTTGGGGGTATTTTAAGAAACACGTGTCAAAAAATGTTGTAAGTGCTCATTGAACCTGCTTATAATGTTATGCTTACCTGATTCAGACTAGAGCAAAGTATATATATATATATATATATGTGTGTGTGTGTGTGGGTTAGCATTGCCCATCGTGTGTTTGGACTTTGGACATTGAGCGGCATCATTGGCTATTGGCGATTTGGCGTCAGGAAGATTCTTCAATATTGCAAACTACAAAGAAGGTGGGATAGAGGTGTAAATCGGGCCGTGCCATCCATAGTTCGGGCCGACTTTGGAACGGTCCGGCATGACAGCCCATAGGCCGTGCCAGGCCTGACACGATGGTTTGTGCCGTGTTGGGCCTGGGGTTTGAAGTCCATGGGCCGGCACGACATGGGCCATGCTGCTCGTGGCTCGCATGCCGGCACGACCCATATATACTATTTATATATATTTTATATTTATACATAATATTTATATATTTTACATATTTATATATAATTATATAATAATATATAGTATATAATATATTAATAAAATAAACAATTGTTTTAATTTTATTATACTAATTTATTTAATTATGGTATATATAAGCAATTGTATACATCAAAAATTATATAAAATTAAAATTTTAAGTTTTTTTTTCAATTTTTTAAATAAATAGGCAAAAAAAGCTTTGGCCYGACTTGGGCCAAGGCTTGGCCCACGGGCCAACCCAGTCCGTGGCACGGAATGGGCCCGCACAACCCCCAAAATTTTCACTGAGGGCGGCACGAGTCGTCAAATTTTAAGTTTTTTTTCCTATTTTTTTTAAATAAAATGGCAAAAATAGCTTTAGCTCGATCCATGGCCCAACTTGGGCCAAGGCTTGGCCCACGGGCCAGCCCGGACCATGGCATAACACGGGCCCGCATGCCTTGGGCCGTGGGCCATGCCGAGCTGACTCCCAAAATTTTCACTGAGGAGGGTGGCACGGCCCGTGGCAGCCCACGGGCCAGCATGGCATGGCCCGCGCTTTGCCCGGGCCGCCCGTGGGCCGTCCCGGCCCGGCCCACTTTACACCTCTAGATACACCATGACAGAACATGCCTTTACTATATTCCCATCAGATGGCAGAAGCATTCTCCTTCGTGAGGAATGAGGGTCGTCACCGACTCAACCGAACCAAAAAGCGAACGAGGAAAATCCAAGGAGTGTCATTTCGTCGAACAGAAAAAAACAGTCAATCGATTACTTGCTTGGCGCCATATTCAACAGGTTTCATACTCAGTATCCTCTCTTTCATTCTTACCAGCGAAGTCTAGAATCTTTCTTTACTACTCTTCGTCTGTCTCCCTCTCACCCCCGCCTCTCTGTATACATCACCCTCTCTTTCTCCGTCTGTCGTTCTGTAATTTATGTTTTTTCAGTTATTCACGTAGGTATCTATGTACATGAGAAAATCTAGGGTTTTAGGATTGCATCTCCAATGGGTTTTCAGATGAACAATCACTGGTCTTGAAGAGGGACCTATGCAATCAAGCTATGAGGTAATATTGAATAGAGAGTAAAACATTATTTGGAAATATAATGTTGTAATTTAATTATTTCTGCGTTAACGTTTCTGTTAATTATCAAAAAAAATCTGTTCAACTTAATTAGTCATGTAAGGATCTTTCCGAAGCTCGTGATGCATATTTATTTTTCCTGTTCCCAAAATAATGCCAGAAGGTTGATAACTCGATCGAAATTAAAAATTTAATCGAGGATTTATTATTATTAATAGCATCATCATCATTATTAATCTCGGGGATTTAAATGTATTTAATTTTGTTGGCAGAATATTTGACATCTTATTGTACACACAATTTTCCCTATTTTATAGGAAAAAAAAAGAGTGTTTGAAAAAGGGAGATCCGATGGAGGGGCCACTCGCAACCAAACATTTCCTGATCATCATCATCACCACCCAAACCTTATCCCAATTTTATGGGGTGGATTGCATGAATCTTGTTTCTCTATTTCGTTCTGTTTAATGCCATATCAATTGCTTATTGGCACTTCAATAATTTCTTTCTGCTTCAACCCATGCCCTTTTGTCTACCTCAGCCCTTTTAGCCCATTCTACTTGCAGCAAGCTACTTCTTCTTACAGGTGTTGTTAATGGTCTTTTATGCACGTGACCATACCAACTTGGTCTACTTTCTTTCATTTTGTCACCTATTGGAGTTATTCCTAGGTTTTTTCGGTTAACGCCAATTTTTATTTATATCCTTTCTGGTTCTTCTAGTCATCCATTTCAGCATACACTTTTTTGCCACACCATTTAGGATGTGTTGTTTCTCGTGCTTTAACACTTTGCTCCATACAACATAGCTGGCCTTACAACTGTTTTATAGAATTTTCTTTTATTCTGAATGCACCCTTCCATTTTGCCCATTCTATTCTAATTATATGGGTGATATCCTCCTCAATCTTTCCCTTTTTACGAATTATTGAACCGAGGTACTAAAAATGTCATATTGAGTTATCTCTTGGTCACCAATCCTAACCTTGATTTGCATATTTTTTGATCAATAACTGCAAATTTCATTAATGAATAAAGCATAGTACAGAAGAAGAGATCAAAGAGGAGAGCTAAACTCTCTTAACTCTCCTAATCCTCTTCAGCATATTAGCAGTGGTACAATTACCCTGATTTGCATTACTGTTATTATTAAATTTATGTATCATATATTTTGTTTTAGTTCTACTTATTTTAAAACCTCTTGTTCCTAAAGAATTTGTCTATAAGCTTATTTTTGCGTTTAATGACTTAATCTTTCATTTGTTTCATCAATTAAAATGACGTCATCAGCTAACAACATGACCAGGGGACTGCCTTTTGAATATTTTTATTCAATTCATTTATGATTAGAGCAAATAAATAAGGACCACGTATTGAACTTTGGTGAAGACCCATTGTAATTGTAAAATCTGAGTCTCTCCCTAGGAGATTAGTAGATAACAGTTATTTCTGTCACTTGCTATACATAAAGTGCAAACACAAGGAGATAAATTCTAGTTGGGCTGAGTTGTTGGTGGTGATGTGRGAAGTACATGAGGAAAATGAAATGCAGCTGAACAGGTTGATTACAGACAGGGATTCTTAGGTGGTAATTACTTGGCCGTTGAACAAGGAGAAGGTTCTTTGTACATATAGAAATGTGATCAACAAGTGAAAATGGTTGACTAGAAACGTTCAAGTAAAGGTTCAATGTGTTCCAAGATCAGCTAATAACATGGCTGATTCATTAGCCGGATAGGAGGTTAATAGAGATCAGTTGTTTTGGTCTCATCTGTAAAGAAATGGCTGGGGAGGGTTATAGATGCCCATTCTCTCTTTATATGTATTGTAATCAATGGGTCTAGGTAGCTGATGGCCTGAGCTAGCCTAAGCTTTGTAATCTTTGCGGTTTCTATATATTAATGGATGCAATTTACTGTTATATACATATGTATATATTATAGGGCCTTTTCCTTTAGAGATTCTCAAGGGTGTTGTGTCATGGTAGATCTCCCAACAAAGATCTCTAACTTTCTGTGGAGTAGGACCTTTTCAAAAGGAGATGTAAGGACATGAAGGATGAAGAGATGGGCTTTTTATTAGGGCTTTGGAAAAGGATGCGCCAAAGAAGACTCCATTAGGCTTCAATGTCCAAATTCTACCATCCTATCCTGAGTTTTCTGAGACAAGTCCTACTAAAAGCTTAAAGTAAAGAGGAGATTGAAGAGGTCTCTTATGATCCATTAAGCCTCTTCTAAGGCCCAAAATTTAGGCTAATCCATTTGGAGAAGAGACACAAAGGGAAATGGGGATTGTTTGTTTTCTGATATGGAGCACCAAACTTGAAATTCATGGGTATTTGTCTCCCCCAAAGCTCTTTGCAAACTCTGACCTGTTACTTGAAATGACATCTGTAGAGAACACTGATGTGGGCCCCACAGCTACGGTCCCACTGTGTTCGTAGGGTAGAAGATGTTCTAGTCTGCCTAGGGTTAGCTATTGGTCATTTAGTTGTTTCAGTTGTTATTTATTTGTCTTATTTTT